CCCCAAAACCCCAAAACCCCAAAACCCCAAAACCCCGCTTATCAAATCAGATATGGACTAGAATAATCTATTAAACTCGTTGTTAATTAAGTCTAGGGTTAAAATTTGATTTTAAAATAAGATAAAATGACAAACCATAGAGCTATACTTGCTAAAAAGGACGAAACTCAAGCAATATAGAGGTCAAATCAAAGCATTGTTGACCTAGCTAGTGGGTGCATGTCAGGTTTCTCCACTCTCATTATTGGTCATCCTCTAGAGTAAGTTAAGAATTTTCAATGACCATAAAGTGTTATGAAAACTAGAATGTAGACAGAGAAAGAGCTTGGTATAACTTTGTAGAGACTAATACAAAAAACCTATCAGAAAGAAGGAGTAAAAATAATCAACTTTAACTTTAGCCGCTAGGATTTTATAAAGGCCTTGGTCCCCCATTACTTAATGCTCCAATTTCATACTCTATTAGCTTTGGTTCATTTGAATACGCGAAATCACTCCTTAATGTCAGCAATTAGACTAAGGACTAGAGCTTTTTAGACTTTTTCTATTGTGGTGCTTTTTCAGGCATCGTTGATAGTTTGTTTTCAACACCTATTGATTTAGTCAAGATGAGACTTCAGGTTTAAGTGGATAACAAGAGCAATTCATATTATAAAGGACCAATTGATTGTCTTTAGAAAATTGTGAAAGATTGTGGTATGAGAGGTCTCTATAGAGGATTATTAAGCAATATTATCAGACAGATCCCCCTTTGTGGAACATCTTTCGGAGTTTACTTCTAAATGAAGAAGAATTTAGCGTATTATCAAAGCTGTGATGTGAATTAGTTAGGAATTTTCTCAAAAATGATATCTGGATTTACTTCTGGATTGCTATGTTGGGTTCCTGCTTTTCCATAAGTAAAACCTCCATTTATTTTAATTCATCGTAATAGGATATTATAAAGACAAAATTATAGGTTCAAAGACATGTATAGTTCAAAAATTTTAATAAATTCATCCCTGACGGTGGGATAGTAAAATGTGCTCAGCATATATACAGGAATGAAGGTGGTATGAGGGCATTTTGGAGAGGATTTTCAGCCTGCTCAGTTAGATCATCCTTAAACGGATCTATTTCATACCTAGTATATGAATTTTTCCAAAGTTAATTTAGACCTTTTGTAAATTGAACCTATTAAGCATAAAAATTAGAGTATGAAATTAATTTCCTTGTTATAGTTTCGCTCTTAAAGCATTCATTAGGGGTTTTGGGGTTTTGGGGTTTTGGGG